TCATCTTGAACTGGTAAAACCTCTTCTTCAAGTGAAGCCGGTTCTCAATGCTCTTTGTAAGATACTTCTCATTGAGCGTTTCCCACAATCTCTTCGCCGACGTCTTGTTCATCACATCATAAATAAGATCCGGCGTCAAGCATGACCGAATAACTCCACAAGCTCTACTATTCATCTTCTTCCAAACCTTGTCCTCCATATCAACGGGTTTCTCTTGTAACTCAAGAGTCTCCTCTAAATTCTGTGTATCCAATGCATCTATCATCTGGCACCTCCACAAACCGAAATTGATCTTGCCATCAAACTTTGGAATATCAATCTTCGTATTATTGATGCTCAGACCTTGTATCGCCTTCGTAAGAGACGAACCTGATGTGCTTGTTTGTCCCATGTTGTCGATCTATCTCTCCAAATAAGAATCCTACAACGAATCCTTCGATCAAGCTCCAAGCCAAACCCAAAGCTCTGATACCACTTGTTGTGAGCAGCGGAACTCGAATCACACAAATAGTGCACAAACAAGAACGAAGAAAATCACAACCAAACACAAGCAAAACACAATCATCACAGCAAGACAACGAATTTTTACGTGGTTCGGTAAGCTGCCTACGTCCACAGAGCAAGGAGGGGGAAGTTCTTACTGTTAGAAATCAAGAGAATACAAATAGGATTACAAATCTCACCAAAAACCGTCAAACAAAGCTCTCTAGATCTCTCACAAATCTTCCCACAAAGGTTGCACAATACTCTCTCAAAAGGCTGCTCAAATCATGCTCAATTAACCCTAATTAATCATGTTTAGGGTATTATACAAACAATAAATGAAACGGGTCAAAAACCCAAAGCCAACTGCAGACCCGACTCGCGGTCGACCACCGCGACACGTGCGGTCGACCGGATCCAACGATCGAGACCAAAAACCACTACAGTGTTTGGCCAGTCGACCGCAGAACTCATCACGGTCGACTGCGAAAAGTCCAGAGACTTTTCCCTGTTGTGTGCACATTTGCGGTCGACCGCCGCTCCATGTGCGGTCGACCGTGAAACTTTCAACCGCTCCATGCGCGGTCGACCGTGAAACTTTCAAACTGCCTCCTGCTTGTTTTTTCCTAAACTTCGTCGTCGTTTCTACACCCCCTCCCAAAACTTGAAATCCTGGCTCTGCCACCGATTGTTTATCTTTGCTTCGTGGTAGATATATTTAGGTTTTTGAACGTATGAGGCCGATTGATAAGGTTTGACCTTGTGCATTTTATACATCAAGTCTAGTCACATGCGTGTGTACATATTTTGGGATACGTGACGGGAAAACCGGTATGTTAAATGAGAGCGATATTGATCATAGGATTATATATGTTGCCTTGTGCCATAGGAATATGTAGAAAGTAAAGCGTGTTTGGCAAATTGTATAAAATTGGGCCAACATTGATCTTGGCCCAGGCTTAAGCTAAGCTGGTTCTATTTTGAGCCAGGAAAAGATGATTTAGAACCATTTTACCAGCCCATTTTAACATAAGAAAAATTGGGGCGCCAGTTTCGACCAAGTTTTTCCCAATCAAATTTCTTCTTAAAATTGAACTAAACTTGGGCCAAATTTAAGTGACTGCCAAACAAGCCCTAAGGCATTATTGTACTGGCTTTTGGGATGCTCATCCTAAGGTGAATCAAGAACCAAGTCAGCGGTTTGCAAGAATGAAGAAGAAATAAAGATGCTTGAGAGACTTGGGTAATGACTTAAGTTAATCTAGAGTCCTTCGCTTATCTATGCTACTGCCATAAAGGGGCAAGATGATATCATAAGCTAATTTTCAACGAAGGACAATTTTACACATGCTCACAATTTGACCTGATTGTCTTAATGCATTGAATATATTGTACCAGCTTATATCGATTTAGATGCAGTTGGTGCAAGGCAGAAGCTATTTTTCAACGAGAGACAACGCCAAATTTGATGGAGGGTCCATGCCCTATATCTCTAGTGGGTGCTTTTGCTCAGAGCAAACTTGCCTCTCTGATGTATAATCTCAATTATTAGTTCTGGGACTCAGCACGTATTATATTTGGTTCCTTGGTCGTCGCAAGGCTGGAGGCACGTGCACTTGAGAGGGCACGTGCTCCTCCCTACAAGCTCGTGTTTTGTCTTATTTTCACAGTCAACTCTTAATTAGCTGTAATTTGATGATCCTGTACCCACCTCCGAGACTACTTAGCGCTAAACAACCAACAACCACGATTCGATACCAAAGCCAAACACTCTAGCCAAAACATCTTCGACGTACCCTTTCTCCGGCAACCCAACTCCCTTCAACTCAAAGCCCAAAACATGAATTGGGTCCTGACACTGGTACAAATGGTGGCATTCCAGACGGAATATTCCGTCTGGAATAGTTAAAAAACTGTCTGCAATAGCTATTCCAGACGGAATTCTGTCTGGAATAGCCGTCTAGTTAGTTTCCGTCTGGAAAAGTTTAATCCAGACGGAAATTCCGTCTAGAATACATTCTAGACGGATTATTCTAGACGGAATTAAAAACCGTCTAGAATACATCCTAGACGGATTATTCTAGACGGAATTTCCGTCTAGAATAATACATCCTAGACGGAAAAAATTTCCGTCTAGGATGAGTATTCTAGACGGAAATTTCCGTCTAGAATAGTCATCCTAGACGGAAATTTCCGTCTAGATGTTTTTTAATTTTTTTAATTTTTTTTTCAAAAAAACAAGTATCCTAGACGGAATTTGAGCATCCTAGACGGAATTTCCGTCTAGGATGCTATGCTACAGTGGTTTTTTTTTTTTTTTTTCATCCTGAGTGTAACATAAGGACACAAGCAATGCATCAATATATGTACAAACTGATCAATATATGTACAAACTGATCCATAAGGACACAAGCAATGCATATATATAAAAGAGATACCAATAGTTGAGTACTAATTAGAACAAGCAAAATATGACTCATAGCCTATATTGAATCTTCGCGCAAAAAAATCTACCTCAGGTTTGAGATCGCGATGAATGATTCGGTGAGCATGTAGCACCTCCAGTCCCTCTCCTGAAATAGCAGATCTCATAACAAAGTAAAAAAATTTCACAGGTATTATAAGCAACCGTAAGTGGTTGTTACTTAGGAACTTGCATGATCTAATAATTGACAAATAAAGTATGGAATATGTTGCACATATGACAATATTAATATGGATGCAAGCTAAACAAGAAATGCTATCATAAGTACGAGTAAACTGTTGAAATCTGAATTATTTCCCAACAAAATGGATAATATGGCTAGAATTTGAGAAAACTCCAGTCAATATAAACAACTTAACAATGATGAGCCATCAAATCTTCATGAAATGGTAGGAATTCTCCAGCCAGGGAAACTTACGAAAAAGGAAATGAGTTAACATTAATCATAATGGAGGACAGGTAATGACACAAAACCACGGTATATGATAATTTATGTAAGAAACTCAAGAATAGACACGAAACCACGGTTTATGACAACAAAATGGATTTTTTTTTGTGGATACATAAGCACATTTGTTTGTAGTTATTAGAATAACTAGATACATCAAGATAATTATTATGGAGTCAAATTTGTGAACCATATAATTATGCTTCAGAATAAAGCAATCGAGCAAACACCAAAGAGGAACAATATATGAATCTATTTCTCTTCGTACATTTATGGAATACCTTACTACACATGTTTCAGAAGGTAGCTCCAAAATGTACGACGTTAAGAAATTAATCGAGTTGTCGCAATTAGAGAAGTTGTAATCTCTTAATCAATTAACTAATTAGCAGCTTCAGAATCTTAAGGATTATAATTCAAACATGGCAGACTGAAACATACAAAGAGTCGCTTCAGCAAAAGGTATAATAAAACAGAGAGAGGAACCGCATACAACACAACCCGATTTGTTTAATTTTTAATTCTCATATTAAGACTCCAAGATAACTTTAATCAACCACACGTAATCTTTACAGCTGATGATGCGATCCTAAGCCAATTTTATCATCTAGTAATGCTTTTTTTTAGCATCTGAGAACGTTCTTTTGTCAGATTGCTCCGTAGATTATATAGAGAATAGAGTTACAGGAGTGTGTGATCCCACTCGGCTATGAGTCATATTTTGCACCAGGAAACAGAGATTCAATATAGGCTATATATGAAACCTCATCGTTAAAATTTTGGATTATTTGATGATACATCCCCCCAAATCAACAAGTAAATATCTACTGGATATAACTGTCAATTAGTTGCTAACCAGAAGATTTTCTCCACAAAATTAAATATCTACTGAATATTTGCATCATTACTCCACAAAATTAGTTGCTAACCAGAAGATTTTCTCCACAAAATTAAATATCCACTAAACCAAGTACTGTATCCAGAGAACTAACCCGGTTTATCTGGTTTCAAACATGTTTGTCAGGATTCAAAGCTCTTTTCCTGTAAAAATATGGAGCTGAAGTTTAGTATCAGATCAGTTGTACTGATTGCACTTACTTGGTAGAACACCATGTCTCTATGAGTATCCACAATTCACTAGAACGGAATAAATAATCACGTTTTCTTTTGAAATTATCTCTGTTAAACCCCACTCCTTTTATTCAACCAGGATCCAAATTATTGTTCTTTTAGGTTTATAATTCTACTCCTGCTTCCCAATTTCTTCGTCATTACCACCCCCCCCCCCGTCCACGGCCACGACACCACTCTCCCCATCTCCCTCGACGAGATGCTCGTTCACTGCCGTGTCGTTGCCCGCAGCGCTACCCGCCCTCTGCTCGTTGGGGATCTCTAGCGCTCGGCGAGGTGGCCGGCGATGGAGGAGGAGGAGGGGGCCAGGCGGCCGCCATGGTCGTCCACGGCCACGACACCACTCTCCCCATCTCCCTCGACGAGATGCTCGTTCACTGCCGTGCCGTTGCCCGCAGCGCTACCCGCCCTCTGCTCGTTGGGGATCTCTAGCGCTCGGCGAGGTGGCCGGCGATGGAGGAGGCGGAGCGCGCCAGGAGGGGGGTGGGCTCCAGGGAGAAGGTGGAGAAGGCGGTGATGATTTGGTGGGGTTGTAGGGGTCCTCGTCTCCGTCGCCGGAGCGTTGCGCTTGCCGTAGCCTGTGAAGGGGACGAGAGGGAGGAGCCAGAGGTTGAAGAAGAGGGAGAGGATTTCGATTTGGGGGGGGATTTCAATTTTGGAGGGTTTCTTAATGTTATTTTGGGCGGAACTTTTGGGTTGGGAGGGGGAATTTCGATTTTGGAGGGAGGGAACTGGTGTTTATTTCTTTTAATACGAGCCAAAGTATTTTAGACGGAAATTTCCGTCTAGGAGTTATTCTAGACGGAAATTTCCGTCTAGAATGCTTAGTTATATTAAAAAAAAAATTAAAAATATAAAAACCGTCTAGAATATTATCCTAGACGGAAATTTCCGTCTAGAATGTTTTATTCTAGACGGAATATTCTAGACGGAAATTTTCCGTCTAATTTAATACAAACTAGACGGAAAATTTTCCGTCTAGAATATTCCGTCTAGAATAAACGATTTTCTACTAGTGTGAAGACGAGCTTAAGTGAAGAAAGCCAGAGCCAGGGCCGGGACTTGAAGTTGAACGGGCTGGTTGATTTCTTGTATAATGATCTCCAACACTTCTTCGACGACCGAGGGATTGACCCCTCGATCTATGATGACCGGGTCAAGTTCCGCGATCCCATCACCAAGTTTGATAGCATTGGCGGCTACCTTTTCAACCTTCGGCTATTGAAGTTTTTTTTCGACCCGAAATTTATGCTTCACAGTGTCAGTCAGGTGATTTTTTTTCCGCTACCGTACTTACTTAGTTGTCTCTTTTTGTTCTTTAATTTATTAGTTTCCGTAAGCTTTGTTAGTTTCTGTGTGAGAGATCCAGAAACAATCCCCCCGGCCCCATCCCCAAAAGCATGTATTCTCCCCGGTACAAATTAAACGCAAAAAAAGAAAATCAAATGCAACCTATATAATAAGTTATACAGGGTGTTGAGAAAAGAAACATCTTGCATGTTATTCTGATCATTGAGGAGGAATATCCTTTACGTTACGAATATTGTTCGTAGGACATGCATAGAAGGTGGTATGAAATTAAAAGAAACCTCTATAACAAGGGGCCGGGGAAAGTTTGTAGTGATGGGATGGATCAGATGGCGCAGCGTTCGACGGGCAATGGATGTGGGCAAACACTGCGGCGAGCGACGAGATCAACAGCATAGGGTAGGAATCCATTGACGTTAATGGAGAAAACTCGCGCGGTGGAGATGATGAGCGTATTGTAAGAAACCAGTGGCAATGTTGATGGAGAAAACTCAACAAGGACTATATCAATGGCGTGTGAGAGAAATCTATGGGCATCGATATATGGAGAAAAAAACTCAGCAACGACAAGATAGGTGGTGAAGGATAGCAATTCAGAAACATCAATGCACGAAAATCTAAACGGTTAATGTCGCCACTGTGGAGAAGCTGAGCTCATCACCAAAGCCTACGCGCGCAGGAGTTGCACTGAAATAGTTCTGTGTATGGGTGCAAGGGACTTTTAAGAAGTCACCGACATCAAAGGGGTTCAATGTCACAATAGAGAAGGCGTGAGGGGGAGGACATTTTCCAGAGGATGCCGATAAGGATGCGTGAACCTCGTACTGGCGTCCGCGACAGGGACAGATAGTATAAGGCCGACTCACAGGCGGAAATTAATTTATCCGTGGGGGATAATCCATCGCGACCAAACTGTTTATTTTCTATTAGTGGCTAGTAGACTGTATCGATCTAGTATATAAAGAGTGGGTCAGGTAAAAGATTTTAGGAGAATTTTTTTTGGAATAGGGCGGTTTTGACAAATATTTAGCAAAAACGTCTGTTTTGCTAAATGTTTAGCAAAAACGTCTGTTTTGCTAAATGTTTAGCAAAACTGACCTTTTTTTGTCATGCTCGCCAAGACTGGCCAAAAAGAGGTCGGTTTTGCTAAAAATGGGTTTCGAAACACGCTGGACTACTAGTCTCATGTGTTTAATGGCCGCTAATCGGCCCCCTAAATGAGAATCAGATAACCCACGGGGCTAATAGTCATGTGGGTTTTCTGTTGCTTACCAGAATATCCACGGGACTACTAGTCCCACGGATTTTCTTTGCACAGTAGAAAATCCACTGGACTACTAGTCCCGTGGATTTTGCAGAAACCCAAAAACCTACACAAAACATACACAGATTCATACCGACATATGTCCTGCATATATACAATATTTTATATGTGCAAAAAATATAAATCAACCTCATATATATTGCTAAACAATATAATTCTTATATAAGTTAAAAATAAGAAATAAACATAAATTAAAACACACTTAATCAATTTACAACATCATAGCACAATAGATAAATCTACCTCCTATACATTTCCATACGCCAAAATATTTCAAACAAATCCAAATGGATCAAGTATATTTATTTACAAATAGAGTTTAAGTAGAAAATCCAATAAACTATCACATACAACCTAAAACTCCTTCCCTCTCCCGTTGTCATCCTCTTTGCACCCGCTTAGATCATCGGCATCCTCCTTCAACTTGAGCTTGTACGTGCTCGCTCTCTGATTGCGTGTGGGGCTGTGACGGCCCAGCTTCATTGTCGTGCGAGCAAGATTCACCTTGTCTTCATCGGCATGCATATAAGACATCCTCCTCATGCACCATCTGCTCATGACCATCATGCCGATCCTCATGAGTTTGATGAAGAGCTATATAAACTCTCTGCATTATCTGCTGCAATACTGATACATGTACAAAATCTCCTCTTGTAGTAGCTATGCCCTCATTTGCAGTGCCCTTTATATCATCCATAGCGTCTATCTGCAACTATGTAAAAAGGTATATATAAGCGACCAAAAGCTAACAAGGGATTAAAAACTAAAAATGGATGGAAAGTTATTTGAAATTTTGTAATTTACTTACCTATTCTCTATCATCTACACCCCTTGGTACGTATCTTGCTTGTTGGAAACGTATCTCGAGTTTGTCGACTAGATGTGTGGTTTGAGTGATTATCCATCTTCTCGTAATCCCTAAATAACAGTTTATATAATTTGTTTCCTCCATCAGAGGATAAAGCTGCTCGACGATACTGAAATGCCGATCATTCCATCTAGCGATGTATTGACGATGCGCATTTGCCCAATCTATTTGTTGCCCACCATTGGATGTCTTTCTCTCTATTTTTTCTACTTCTTGTGGAGTGCAATGTGCCAAACTAAGCTGCCTAAGAATGTGATCCGGCACATGCATCTCCATACTTTCAAAGCCAATGAGAGGAACTCTTGCTCTCCATATACGGTGCCCCTCCATGCAAATCAGTGGTAGACGAGGTAGGTGAGTCCTGTATGGCTGTCACTCAAACTGCAAAATATTTCACATATTAGTAACTCTATGAAATAGATCGATAGCTTAAATTTTCTTAAATTAAAATTCAGTACCTAATATATTTTCATTCAGTTGAGTTCTCCTTTGTAAAAATCTAACTGTCTTGCCAGGGTCCTATCATACCATTTTTAGATATTCCATCTACGTTAACGATAAAAGGTTAGCATATAATACCATAAATAAAATTCAAAATCAAGTTTGCTTTAATTAGATTTGAAATTATTTACTTGCAGCCTAGTGGAATCTGTCCATCTAAAACTCGTGTCTCACATAATCTTGGTTTCAAAACCAATCTCTCCCACGCCCAAACTTATAATAATGTCAAACAACCATTGATCTCTTTATTTTGCCTAAAAGTAACTTTCGACATTTCCCTATACAGGTATGCTAAAACAGCACACCCCATGATAATGTACAACATGTGTCAAAGTTTCGGAGAACTGGTAACCACCTATCATATTAAAAATGCATTTAGTTCTATTAAATTAATTATTATGAAATCAAATAGTGAAAAAACTCTTTTATCATTAACATAAACTAGCAAAGATGACCAAAAAAGTGCATTATATGAATAACAAGGTCTATTCAATTAATATTTCCATATGTCGTAAAAGGATATTTTAGATGAATAATTTCTGGAAATAGTTAAATGTTGGGAATAATTGCATTACCTCAAATACATTTTATCTTTACTTTAATCAGAGAATGGAAACGTCCTAAGCATGTGCAAAATATATACAGGAGTGTGTTGCTGGATTGTGATTTGGGATGCATCTTTTGGCAATGGGTGTGAGAAATTTTTTTTAAGACGGTCTCGGTAACGAGACCGTTGGCTCCCACTGTGGTCGCCAGCTTGTTTGCGTCAAAAGTTGACTTTGTCATGGAATTCATTATATCTTCGGTCGATTACAACAAATTCAAAAGAGATAGTCTTTTTATAAGACTTCTTTTACACAACAAAAGGAAAATTATAACTTTTTAGAAACCAACGCAGGATCGTTGTTTGGATCGCTGCTTGCGTGGGATCTTTGCCTGTGCCGGGAGCGCTTTGACTCGTGGACCACCAAATCACAGATTCTGATTGAATCGTGAAGGGTTTAATGATTCTTCCTTTGTTTATCGAAGTGAGAATTTGAAATGATATCTTATCAAGGTAAGATAGTCGTTCTTCTTAAGATCAAGTCAAAGCTCGAATCTCAAGGGATGGCCAGAAGCTCAGGAACTCTGCTCTCTCTGCTCCAAATTGTTCAAAACGATCAGCCCCCTTTTGTAACCATTGTCCCACTACCTAAATACCATCCTTTTATGATGTTAGTGGGTCTCCTTTCAGTTTGTAATCATCTCCCCACGTTTATGGTTGATCTCAAGTAGTTATGAAGCCAAAAAACCGTCAAAAAACATGTTGTAACCAACTCTATGACCGAGACAGTGAAGTCTGTCTCGCACTTCCGAGACAGTTTGTACTATCTCGGGTATTTTGGCTCTAACTCCCTCGTATGATATCGGAATGAGATGATCCAAGATGCGTTGGAAAGCTGACGAAGAGATCTACAACTTTTGTCTTTTGACCTTCCTCAGATTTGGTGCGAGACAGTCATGACTGTCTCTCATTCCGAGACAGTGAAGTCTGTCTCGCACTTCCGAGATAGTTTGTATTGTCTCAGGTATTTTAGCTCTAACTCCCTCGTACGATCTCGGAATGAGATGATCCAAGATGAGTTGGAAAGCTGACGAAGAGATCTACAACCTTTGTCTTTTGACATTCTTCAGATTTGGTGCGAGACAGTCATGACTGTCTCGCATTCCGAGACAGTGAAGACTGTCTCGCACTTCCGAGACAGTTTATGTTGTCTCGGGTATTTTGGCTCTAACTCCCTCGTCCGATCTCGGAATGAGATGATCCAAGATGCGTTGAAAATATGATAAAAAGATCTACAACTTTTGTCTTTTGACCTTCTTCAGATTTGGTGCGAGACAGTCATGACTGTCTCGCATTCCGAGACAGTGAAGTTTGTCTCGCATTTCCGAGACAGTTTGTGTTGTCTCGGGTATTTTGGCTCTAACTCCCTCGTCCGATCTCGGAATGAGATGATCTAAGATACGTTGGAAAGCTGATGAAGAGATATACAACTTTCCATAAGAAAAACACTCATAGAGTAGATGAGACATACATGGTACTTCGCCATTTTGTGGATAAAGCACAACTCCTGGTTGAGTTGTTCCTTTATCGTTTAGCATGTTTCACAGACTCGTACGCTTCGCCGACTTATTTCGTGTGCTTTTTAGCTTCTCTATAATATCCGATGATCTCATTTGACTCAGATAATTCTCTTTGACTCGGATAGTAACATTCATCGTCTTTTT